CTTTCCCAAGGACACAAAGTCGGGCCCTTGACGGGATTCGAACCCACGACCTTACGGTTGCGAGTCCGAGAGCCTAACCACTAGGCCACCGACACCACAGTACAAGTAACATTTGTAACAATACATGTAACATTTGTTACAATACATGTAACATTTGTAACAGTACACGTAACATTTGTAACGGTACATGTACCATTTGTAACAATACCAGTAACTTGCCACCATCTCTGGTCACAGGTGGGTCGCGGCGGCGGTGCGGGCAGCGTGGGTGACAAATGCGCCATCTGTGGGAACAAAGTGTACCTGCTGGAGCGACACATGGACCAGGGCAAGCTCTACCACCGCTCCTGTTTCCGACACAGCGAACTGTCGCCCACCAACAAGGTGTTCTCCCGCTCGCCCTTCATGTCTCCGTTGCTGAGCTCCGAGGTCCCACAAGCCCCATGGGCGGAACGCCAGGCGCAGCTGGACGACAAGAAGTCTGGCGAGCTGTCGCTGAAAGGTCCGCCGCACGGCTCTCCCCGTACAGCGAGTGTCGGCCCGAGCGTGTCTGCGGCTCAGCGTCGGGCAGACGGCACGGGTGGGAAACATTCTCTGGCTGAGCCTGATAGGGAGGACAGCAAGAAGTCCAAGATACTCCCAAAGACTTTGTTTGGAGACAAATCCAGTACTCAGAAAGAGGCAACAGGGGAGGTCAGTTCTCCCAGAACTGATGCTAAGGATGATCTCCCCATGCCTCTGTCGGGAAAAGAGGCCAAAAAGTTGGAGAAACGACGACAGGCGCTACTGGCAGCGGAGAAACCGATCTCTCAGACTCCAGTGCGCCGGAACGTGCCTCTGATATTTCAGCAGAAAGATGAAAAAGAGAAAAGCATGGCATCTGGGTCAGCCAAGGACGTTTCAACGAGTCTCAAAACGTCGTCTGTGTTTACATCAGGGAGGACAGGGGGGACCTCATCGCAGTCCAAAGTGTCTGCTCTCGTGTCGAAGTCAGAAACAAACTCTGTTGTGGACAAAAAGACTGGCAGCGGTACAGACCGACCCGGGGGGAAGGCTTTCTACACTGCCAGTCAGGGCTCCAAGGATGCGGGCAGGAAGTCAGGTTTGCCCAGCGTGCAGCAACTACAAGAGAAGTTCTCGAGTTCCTCTAGCAACGCGGCCCAGGTCGACAGAGCTGTGGACTTGACCGCGACCGCCCCAGTGGCCAAACCACGGACAGGCGTGAGCCACAAGCAGGAGATGGTGCCAGGGAATGACAGTTCCTCCTCGCTGATCAACGACAAAAGTTCACAAAACTTTCCAAAAGCTGCCCCCAGGAAGAAGGTGGGGGAGCTCTCGTCCTCGCACAAATCGCTCGCCCCTGCTCGGCCAAAGTCACCTCCACACTTGAAGAACTCGCTGGCCACGCAGTCGGACACAGGCTCCAGTGACTCCAGTACCTCCACGCCTCGTTCTGGCCGATCCACGTCGTCTGTCCCTCCTCCTCTACCTTCTTCTGCACCTCCTCCCCTCCCCTCCACAGCGCCTCCCTCCCTCCCCTCCACAACGCCTCCCTCCCTCCCCAGTTGTCCCCCTCCACCCCTCCCTAGTAGCGACCCTGTGGGCTCTGTCGGCTCCAAGGGACACAAACACTCTCAGAAATCTACCAATGAGGAGATGACTCTACAGGAAATCAAAGCATCTCTCCACTCACACAAACGGCCCGTGTCGACGCACGTACCAGACGCCAGCTCCACGTCACAGCACCCGTCTCCCCACAGTGTGTTAGCCCAGGCCAAGTCGAAGCTGCACTCGGCAAAGAAACCCGACCAGGGGAAACACGATGGAGAAGTGAAGACCCACGGCCCTGTGAAGTCGCGGGTGGCGGGCAACAACGCGCACACGGCCTCCACCAGCAACAAGTTGTCGGACCGTCGTTGGTCCAGCCCGGCAGACACAGACTCCCAGCCCCTGGCCATGTATGTGCTGCCACAGGAGAACCAAGACAAAGGTTCCGTCCTCTCTGGGCTCCTGGCCTCCCTGGCAGGTGTACGCGGCCGCTCCACCACCTCCTCCACCACTTCCTCCCCGTCCCCGACAGACTCTACGACCCCGCCCCTACTCTCTGCCGGGGCCGCGACTCCCACAGCCTCCACCTCACACTCCACGTCTGCCTCTACGTCTGCCTCTACGTCTGCATCGACTTTCTCGTCCTGTGTCACTCCAGCACCCTCGTCCTCCACACCTTTGGTGTCTGCATTATCATCCTCTGTTAAGCCTTCATCATCCTCATCATCAGCGTTATCATCCTCTGCTAAACCTTCATCATCCTCATCATCATCGCTATTGTCATCGACCTTCAAGACGGCCCCTTCCAGCCCAACGACAGCCCCGGACTCGACAACTCGTTCCTCCAGTCACCTGACCTTGACATCCACGTCTGTACCCGCCGTCTCTGTCTCTTCCTCTCAGGCCGACAGACCTCAGCTGTCAAAACCAGCCACCACCGCCCCGGTGATCACACCTCCCGGTGGCCTGGGTACAAAGACTGCCCCGTCAGCGACAGAACTACCGGAGGCTTTGAACGTACTCGGCAAACTGAAACACGTCACTGATCCAGCATCTTCCACGTCTGCCGGTAAATCGTCTTCCTCAAACTCTGCGGGTAATGTCGACAAGTCTAAAAGTACAAAAGCTGAAGAACAAGGGAAAATTCCCAAGGGCATTTTGAAGAAAAACTCTGAAAATTCTTCTGCCACTAAAATTAGTTCCACGGACAGCAAGACGGACAAGTCCAAAACTGGTGGGCCAGACAAAGACAAAAGTTCAGCAACTGTTGGACAGAAACTTGTGGACGCCTTCAAGCCTGTGACTGGGAAAGAGAAGACAGGGAGGACCATTACTTCCGGGCCGAGCCATCCTTCCCCAGCCCCTCGGTCACCGCGGAAGGAAGTCCTGGCAGAGACCAAGTCGAATCTCAAACCTTCGGAGAAACGATCCGAGATTGGAGGTAGTCGAGAAGAGCTACACTCCAGCAAGGAGAACATTTCCCACATCAGTGAGGTGCGACTACGCAAGGTAATGCCCACCAGCAGACAGGAGAACAAACAAGCTGCCACGCCCGCTTTTGATGTGAAGTTGAACAAAGTGGAACTGAACCCCAAGTCTGACTCGAAACAAGTCCCCAAAACTCCCACAGAGAGCTGTAGTCAGGCTGATAGGACAGGGAAACCTTCAGGCCGGGACGGAAGTAACCATTGGTCAGCTGTGAGTGTCGGTGACAGAGCGGAGAATGCGACTGTGTCAAACAACACAGTGTCAAACAAGACTGCGGGGCCAGAGTCAGATGATGACCTGGACGACCTCCCGCAGTGGAAGAAAGCCTTGGAGGAGCGGAAGAAGAAGCTGAGGGAGAACGTAGCGCGGTCCGAGGTGGATCCTCCGCCGTGGAGACGAGAGAAGAGTTCCGAGGCTGGCTACGAGAGATCCCTGTCGGCGGAGGTGCTCAACGGGACGGACAACAACAATCTGGTCGTAGAGTCTCTGGCAAGTCCTGGCACAGCGCCAGCCACCAGGAGGAAGTCGCCAGTGCCAGGTAAGAGGTCCAGCCCCCGGCCACAGTCTGCCGATATTTTGGATGTTGCCAGGACGGAGAAAAAGCTGGACTGGCAACACGAGGCAGAGCGACGTATGGCGGCTCTGGGCGGGTTTGACACGGACGAGGAAGACAGGTCACGTGGGGAGGAAGACCGACCTGGTGGGGAGCCCTCGAAGCCTAAGAGAACGCTTCCCACTGTCCCCACCGAGGCCGCTCTCAACGGATTGAGGAACAAACCTACGGCAAACGCTCTCTCGAATGTTGAAGATTCTAAAACAGCAAAGAAAACTGTGACTGTGAGTTTGGAAGACAAAAGTGATTCTCGTTCTGTGTCAACGGCTAAGTCTAGTGTTCTCAAGGATGTGGGGAAGAAAGTGGATCTTACGACAAGGAGAGAGGGGAAGGAGGTGAAGTCTGTGGAAGGCGCTAGTGTCAAGGAGGATCTGTCGGTTCCCAGTGGGACCCAGGGTGGGCAGGGCAAAGGGGAGGACTTCCGGGACAAACTGCAACAGTTGAAACACGTGAACAACGGGGATCCGGCCAAGAAGAACGGGTTCAAGGCCAAAGTGCCGGGGGTGGGCGGCGTGGGACAGGTCAAGGACGGGGAGGTGGGCCTGACTGCGCCGCGCAAACTGAACATCACCAACAACAACGTGAGCGGCGGGGACAACAGAGACCAGAAAGTTTCTTCATCGACGGAGAAGACGCACGTGACAGACAACGACCATATCAGGAAACTGATGAAGCAGACAGCACCGACAAGCTCTGACCCCACGCACTCTGCCACTGGTGGTAAGGACTCCGAGAAGGGCAACAAGGTCGACAGACACGCTTCCTCACCGACGGCCAACAAGGTCGACAAACACGCTTCCTCACCGACGCCCAAGAGGAAGATCACTGTACTGGGCAGGAACAAAAAGGTGAGAGCTGTTGCCAGGGAACTAGCTGCCTCGTTTCTCTTTTTCTTTTGCCAAAAGAATTGAATGAAAGAGTTGTGATCTTACTCGTCCTGTCTGTAAATCTATAAATCTGCGTTGTCTGTAGTGGTGAATCTATCACAAATGTTGTCTGTGGTGATGAATCTATCACAAACGTTGTCTGTAGTGTCTGTAGTGATGAATCTATCACAAACGTTGTCTGTAGTGATGAATCTATCACAAACGTTGTCTGTAGTGATGAATCTATCACAAACGTTGTCTGTAGTGATGAATCTATCACAAACGTTGTCTGTAGTGATGAATCTATCACAAACGTTGTCTGTAGTGATGAATCTATCACAAACGTTGTCTGTAGTGATGAATCTATCACAAACGTTGTCTGTAGTGATGAATCTATCACAAACGTTGTCTGTAGTGATGAAGTATCATAAATCTAGACATTAGATTTAATAATGTCTAGATCTAAAGTCTAGATCTAAAGTCTAGATATCTATATCTAAATCTTTAATATAATGTCTAGATCTAATGTCTAGATATCTATATCTAAATCTTTAATATAATGTCTAGATCTAAAGTCTAGATCTAATGTCTAGATATCTATATCTAAATCTTTAATATAATGTCTAGATCTAATGTCTAGATATCTATATCTAAATCTTTAATATAATGTCTAGATGTAATGTCTAGATCTTTAATATAATGACTAGATCTAATGTCTAGACTCTATATATATACAATGTCTAGATCTAGATCTAACGTCAAGATATAAAGTCCTAGATCTAGACCCTTTTAGATCTAGACATTTGATCTAGACATTTTATCTAGACATTTGATCTAGATGTTTTATCTAGACATTAGATCTAGACGTTTTATCTAGACATTAGATCTAGACATTTTATCTAGACATTAGATCTAGACGTTTTATCTAGACATTAGATCTAGACGTTTTATCTAGACATTAGATCTAGACATTTTATCTATATAGATACATTGTATATGAAGACCCCAGGGGAAGAAACGGCAAGGTCACATTTTTGACATTTAGATCTAGAGATATTTGAATTTTAAAGTTTGAAAACTCTCAGCATGTTAATGATTCCACGAATTATTCATTGCTTTCATATTTTCACACCACTATCTCATTATGAATCAGTTTTTTATACTAAAATGTAGCCTGTTATTTAGTTTGATTAATTTTTTTTTCTACTTTTTTAATTTGTGTGCAATTTGGACATTGCTGTTTTCGCCTGTAAATTCTGTAAAAAGGACCTTGCTTGTTTTTACACCGTTTTAGTGAACAAAAAGCTACTTAACGCTCGATGGATTTGACAACGTAGTTTTTCTCTATCGAAGTGACTATTCCCAGTGACACTGGGGATAGGTACAGAAACTATTCCCAGTGACAATGGAACTCTTTTGCATTTAAACAATCAGAAGTCTTTTCACTGTAGACTCTGTTCTCACTTCAGTTCAGAACTTTTGTTCTCTTCTCATATTGCCATAGAGTTACCCCCTTTTAGTGCCTATAGTGTAGATCTTTGCCGAGGGCTTGGACTTGACCCTAGAATAGATCTAGAACTATATCCAGATCTAGAATCCAGATCTAGAAGAAAGAAAATCAGGAAGGATTTCTACCTGTCCTGTACCGTGGTCCGGTCTTCAGAATCTGTATGAAGATCTAGATCTACGTGTACATAAATTACGACTGAATAACAAGCAAGCATAGAATGATCATTCCTTTTTCTTTAAAAAATTCTTCCACGCACACTAGAATTAGAATCTACTTTAGTTTAGTTAGATCTAGAATCTAGTATCTAGATCTACATTAGATATAGTTTATCTAGTATTTAGTAACCAATCACCTTCATGCCCATGTAGATCAGTGTGGAAACAATAGATCTAATGGGCCTGTCTGTTCTCAGTGTCACTGGGAATAGTTTCTGGGCCTATTCCCAGTGACACTGGGAACAATTCTGCCATAGTCCCTATTGCCAGTGGTTTCTGGACCTGTCACTGGGAATAGTTTCTGGGCCTATTCCCAGTGACACTTTCTCTCTAGCTCGTCATGGCTGCTCTCCCTGTCAGCTTAGGACAGGTTGTGAATGAAAGAAGTTTGGAGGGATCCTCTATCTTCTTGTCTTGGAATTAATTTTGACTGAAGAAAATTCCCCAGGTCTCCAATAGCTGGGGACAAGAATCCCACAAATTGTAAAATGTGACCCTGCTGTTTGTGGTCTTCATATCTAGACAGACTTTTATCTATACATTATAGATCTATACATTAGATGTACGTATACATTATGATCTATACATTAGATGTATCTATACATTATAGATCTATACATTAGATGTACCTCTATACATTAGATGTACCTATACATTATAGATCTATACATTAGATGTACGTATACATTATAGATACATTAGATATATCTATACATTAGATCTATACATTAGATATACGTATACATTATAGATCTATACATTAGATATACCTATACATTAGATCTCTACATAACATCTCGACGTTATATATGTATACAGACAGTGCAAAACTCACGCTATGCTTGTTGACCTCAGGGAGGCGTGGAGTCCCCGCCGCAGACGCCAGCGTTGAGGAAGAAGATCGAGGTGCCCAGGTTTGACTTTGAGGAGAGCGGGGAGCAGGAGATGCTGGACCAGCGAGAGTCAGGACTCAGCTTTTCCACGGCGAAGCTCACCATTGAGGATGTGCACACTCCGCCACACCGACCTCCACCGGCCAAAGCCACTTCTGTAAGTTGTCTGTGGCACAAAGCCACTTCTGTAAGTTGTCTGTGGCTAGCAGAGAGGTTATATATATTAGAGAGGTTATATATATATCAGAGAGGTTATATATATATTAGAGAGGTTATATATATATCAGAGAGGTTATATATATGTTAGAGAGGTTATATATATATTAGAGAGGTTATATATATATATATATCAGAGAGGTTATATATATATATCAGAGAGGTTATATATATATATATCAGAGAGGTTATATATATATCAGAGAGGTTATATATATATTAGAGAGGTTATATATATAAGAGAGGTTATATATATATCAGAGAGGTTATATATATATTAGAGAGGTTATATATATATATATATCAGAGAGGTTATATATATATCAGAGAGGTTATATATATATATATATATCAGAGAGGTTATATATATATCAGAGAGGTTATATATCAGAGAGGTTTTATATATATATTATTAGAGAGGTTATATATATATATCAGAGAGGTTATATATATATATATCAGAGAGGTTATATATATCAGAGAGGTTATATATATATCAGAGAGGTTATATATATATCGGAGAGGTTATATATATCAGAGAGGTTATATATCAGAGAGGTTATATATGTCAGAGGGGTTATATATATATCGGAGAGGTTATATATCGGAGAGGTTATATATATCAGAGAGGTTCTAGAAAAGATTAAACTGGTGGGCTGGGATGTCATTTTCCTGGTTTTTCCTGTTGTTTCAGTTATGTTGAACAACAAAAACATGAAAGTATATTTTAAAAATCCAGGCCTTAATGTTGTTCCGTTGCTGCTCAAAAGATGATAAGAAAGAACAGTTATTGTTCTCAGCGTTTGTTTTTCTGTCTGTCTGTCTGTCTGTCTGTCTGTCTGTCTGTCTGTCTGTCTGTCTGTCAATACAACTAGCGTAGGGAAATATTCAGTCCCTCACACACACACACACACACACACACACACACACACACACACACACACACACACACACACACACACACACACAGAATCTCAGGAGTCATCTAGATCTTCCTTGTGTGGTTTGGTTTTCCCACAGGTGTGGGTGGCTGGTGGGTGCTGTGCTGTGGTTTGCTCCTTGCTTCCTATCACACATCTATCGTCCTGAACTCTCCTCCTTCTATGTGACTCTCCAGTAGCACCTCTAATCTCCGGCACTTCCATGACCTAATTGTGTTGCATGTGCTGTAAAACTGTCACTAAAACAACGCACAACTTCCCGTCAGGCGGCCAGCCCAGGACACATCTCGGCCATTGAGCTCCAGCAACAGCTGATGGACATCGACAGCCGCCTGTCTGACCTGGAGCTCAGAGGTCGCGACCTTGAGGACTCAATCCGCAATGGTAGGCCGCGGTGTCTTCTGACACCTTCTGTCGCTGCGTGTTGTTGAAGATAGAGGCTTGTTGTTTACTTTGACCGTTGTTGTTTTCATGAGCAGTGTCCGCTCGAGGCATGAATTAACGTACTCATGTTGTACCTCTGTCTCTGTACGAGGCATGAATTAACATATATACATGTACCTCTGTCTCTGTACGAGGCATGAATTAACAAACACATGTACATCTGTCTCTGTACGAGGCATGAATTAACATATATACATGTACCTCTGTCTCTGTACGAGGCATGAATTAACATACACATGTACCTCTGTCTCTGTACGAGGCATGAATTAACGTACACATGTACCTCTGTCTCTGTACGAGGCATGAATTAACGTACACATGTACCTCTGTCTCTGTACGAGGCATGAATTAACGTACACATGTACCTCTGTCTCTGTACGAGGCATGAATTCGTACACATGTGGTACCTCTCTGTGTGGGAAGTTTCCAGTCTCGGTTTTTGCAGTTATAGAGGAACATAGTTAGAAGGTAGAGTTTGGACCTTTCTCATATCTCGTATTCTTGTGCTGTTTCATACAAGACCTCTGACTCATATCTCGTATTCTTGCGCTGTTTCATTCAAGACCTCTCAAATAGACCTCTCTAAACTAGTGTAGACCTGATATGTTTCTTCACATCATGCAAGTTTGTTTCCAACTTAGTCTCTTGGTATCTTCATGAGGAAACTTTCCGAGCATTGCAAGCTTTGTTATGTGAATGAATGTATGCATGGTTTGTGCACCTCCTTTGTCCACAAGTTCATTAGTTAGCTATGTGTGGGTGTATATATACAGTTTTGGTATTTATTTGTCAGCTTCCTGCTATACATAGGCTTCTTGCAACTAACACTCTACTGTGCCCAGGTAGACTTGAGCATCTCCCTCTGAGAAGATCTAGTCCTTTGTCGTTTTCTGGGAAATCTTTTTTATTGCTCGTTTATTTATTTGTCTATTTTTCCTTTTAATGGGGGGGTAGAATTTCAGAAAAGACAGCTGTCTTGTTGGTAGTGGCGGAGACGAAATGTTTGACATGTTTGAAATGTCTGCGACTCTTGTCTCCCCCTGAGCACAGTAGTTTTTGTGTGTTTGATCCTTCTTTTCTACAGCCAGTAGGCCCCCTTCCCTCCCCGGTGCCCCGAGTCTCTTTGTGAAGACTTTAGGTTTGTGCTAGTGATACAATAGTTATTGTACAAGTCTATGGTACAAGTCTATGGTACAAGTCTATGGTACAAGTCTATAGTACAAGTCTATGGTACAAGTCTATGGTACCAGTCTATGGTACAAGTCTATAGTACAAGTCTATAGTACAAGTCTATGGTACAAGTCTATGGTACCAGTCTATTGTACCAGTCTATGGTACAAGTCTAATTTACAAGTCTATGGTACCTGTCTACGGTACAAACTATAACCTTTGACCTGTACTATGTTATACAATAGTTATGGTACCTGTCTACGGTGCCAGCTATAACCTTTGACCTGTGCCATGTTGTACTATAGTTATGGTACCTGTCTACGGTGCCAGCTATAACCTTTGACCTGTGCCATGTTGTACAATAGTTATGGTACCTGTCTACGGTACCAACATCCAGCAGACCCATGTATGTAGGCCCTAACTAACACTAACCGTCCTTTCCCCCTCTAACATTTCAGATGTGCGAAGTATCCAGAAGCGTAGAATGTTGGGGTATT